TCTATCTATCTATCTATCTATCTATCTATCTATCTATCTATCTATCTATCTATCTATTAAATTTATATCCTGTCCAAATGACCATCTCATTGCCATGCGATGCTGGGTAATATTTTTCCTACACAAATAGAGAGCTGCAGCTTTGTCATTGTGGAGCTGTGTCTTGCAGCTACTCTACATTATTCCAACTTTCTGGGTTTTCTGGAATCTTGTTATGGTCCTCCAAGGTGTTTGTCCTCCTTCCTATTTCCTAGATTGGAGCCACTGAGTGCTTTCATCCACCTTCACACAGCCTGTGACCTATAACTAGCTCTGAACAGCAAGGAGGAAAAACGTGAAAACCAGAGGTGGCATTCAGCAGGTTCTGACCAGTTCTGGAGAACCGGTAGCGGAAATTTTGAATAGTTCGGTAAATACCACCTCTGGCTGGCCCCAACCCCATCTATTCTCTGCTCCCGAGTCCCAGCTGATCAGGAGGGAAGGGGGATTTTACAGTATCCTTCCCCTGCCAGGCTCACCAAGCCACAGCCACAGAACTGGTAGTAAATATTTTTGAATCCCACAACTGGAATGGCCCTCTTTGCATGCATACATTACCCTGCAACCTCTATTCTGACCACAGAGAAAGTGAAGTCATGTATCCTCAAACCAACAAGAAACAGATCTGTTGCCCTGTGCATCCTAAGAGCCCTCATGTAGGACTGATATAGCTTGGTTTATCCAGAGCAGGGGTGTCCAAACTTGGGAACTTTAATCCCAGGGAATTCTGGGAGTTGAAGTCCACAAGTCTTAAAGTTCCCAAGTTTGGACACCCTTGCTCTGGATAAACACCGTGTTTTTGAAAAACCTTCATTCTTGGGCCTCATATCCTTGCCCTAACATTCCTGGAAGGCTGCCATTGCCTCATTGGTGATAAGCCTTATCAAGGGACTTGGTACCCGGCCAGCAATTGTTTCTCTGCTAACTTCTTGTTCCTGTTGCAGATAAATTAGTCAGAAAGTTTGCATACTTAATTAGCAGCCTTATCGGTTGAAGTCAGAAAGGTGAAGGCTTTAATATTTGAATTATAGAGTCGTGGGGCTGGAAGGACTTTGGAGGTCTTCTAGTTCCTGCTTAAGGCAGTGTTGGAAGAAATGTCCTTCTGGTTCAGTCCCAAGCGGGGAAAAAGACATTGGAAACATGAAGACTGCTTGGAAAGATGGTTTAATGATGGACAGGGTCACATGCTTCAGGATGTTGGGTGAAGAAGGTTAAGAAAGGGAAAGGGGGGTTGCTGAAAGTTCCTGAGTTTTTTATACTCTCTGTTTGGCCCCACCGCTTTGTTTCCTGTTCCTGTGTAAGAAATGTATTCTGATTGGTTGTCAGACTCACAGAGGTTGTGGTGTCTTAGCTAACTTTGTAGGTTGTGTGTCTTTTGAGTCCCAAGCTTGGTTGTGTTCCCAGATGCCCTGTGCTGAGATAGGTAAAGGGCTAATACTATCATGCCTTAATCCCATCA